GTTAGTCTGTGACTTATAGCACGTAAATCTGAAATGTGTAAGCTTTGCATAAAACACAATACATATATGTGTGTAAATCTGAAAACTTTCTCCCTCTATCTTTTAGCCTCCTAGAACAAAATGGAATGAAGAACCAAAGGTCAAGCTTAAACATCGGAATTGTGTTTCTTAAGTGGTGCCTGCTAATTAAACATACTACGGAGTTTTTATGCAATTAGCTTCTCCCCTTACTCACCCTTGTTATTCACATAATCTACTGTTTTCCCTGTTTGTCCCTATCTGCGTCCGCATAAAAAAATTTGAAGCAGCACCGACATCATTTTTATAATAGCACTGGTGCTATTATACTTAAAGCTGTAAAGAGCTTTGAGCTGTTCCTAATAAAACAAACGTTAAAACTGATACTGCTCAGCTCTCCTGCTGTGCATTAATTTGGTGACAGACAGATGAACGTGGCATGGTGTGCACAGCATGCCACCCTTGGCACCTTAAGCCTGTAATATTGGTAAGGAAAAAAATGAGGTAAAAAACCCATAAAGTGCTCAAGAATGTAAAGATGCAACTGGCAGTATGTCTTAGTTAATGGGAACCATGCAGCTGCCATATAGGAACCATACTGTTGCTATTCTGAGAAAAACCCTTGCTGAAGACTAGTCCATTTGCTGTTACTACTGCTGTGTAAGTCAGGGTTGCTTTAAATAGCTCACTTGTCACATAGCCCCCTCTACACACATCTCACAAGAGAATGCTCTCTCTGACAGAGCAAAGCTTTACTGCAGTGGAGAAGTGCAATAATTTACCACTTGGAAAAAATATCTGGGGATTTCTGACTGTACTGAGGCTGACACATCCTACAACTGAAGGATGTGTGGTACAAGTGCACCAGTGTTCATTATCAGGGGTCCGTGTCTTCACTTAGTTTACAATTCTACAATGACCTCAGAGCTGATGCCTAGGGTCATCTAAATAGGTCAATCACTGAATCAAAATGTTCAGCTCTTCAACAGCCTTATCTAGCAATGGCAGTAAGACTGGTATTTGGAGCAATAGCTCAAATACAGAAAGAAGGCATTTTTGCCTGAAGTGTCTTATGACAATGAAATAATAAATAATGGCACGTGGTGAGTAAATTATGAAGCATATCTTATCTTCTAAAATAAGAACCAACCACTTAACTGTATGAGCAAAATTCTTCAGCTGAGTCCCTCCCATCTGCTATATAAATTTTACATTCAATGTCATAGCTGCACAAAATATGACTATTGGAAGGAGTCACTGCGTGCTTACAACCAAAACCACATCAATATGACTAATCATATCAGCTCTCTTACATATTGGAAGTCCAATTACTTCTATTTCCAGCCTTTAAATAAAATGGCTTATCTAGAATTTTTTCACTAAGCAATACAGCTATTTTCCATTTTTTTGAAAAAGCACTTTTAATACCAGCCTGACACTTCGAAATCACAAGACAGTACATATGATCACACTCAGCAGAACACATTTGCACACTGCCCAGTCAGCTTGGCTAGGCTCAAGTGTAGCCTTTCATATCCTATGAAGATTTAATAAAAACAAACAAAGCAACAAAGTTATGTTTCTTAACAGAACTATGCATATTTTCTTCTTTCTGGACAAATATTGTCACCATCAAGGGTCAAATAATGCATCTGCTGTAGTAGGTTTGGAGTCTACAAAATAGCAGGTCTCCAATGACTGGGAGGTTTCCCAGGGTTTTACACTGCATGACTGCTGCTCACATTAAAAGTTTGATTACTATCCTTTTATCTATTCATCTTCTGGAATCCTTCTATAGATCATCCACTGAAGAATGGATTCATATGACAAGTCAAAGTATCACTCTTGTTTTCATCTCTTGGCCAGTCTGGATGACTGTTTCCCACTTTCCCTCTCATCCTGACCAACAGGATGTTATTAACAGTGATGCCACTAGTCTGACTGCTGTCCACTGCAATAGAGCCTCTTCAGGAAAACAAAGTAATCTACTGATGGTCATGGGAGCTCAGCTATGGTGGTCATCTGATCTAGTTGTAATAGAAAGAAATCTGAAGTCCAGTTCCTTACAACCTACAGGCACATAACTTGAGTCGTACCAACTTCCACAGAGGTTGTGCAATGAAGCATTTCTATGATTCTATGATGCAAGTCCCGGCTCCTGAACCAAAGTGTTTAGAGCTCCTGTGTCTACTTTTCCCCTCTGTCCACTGACAAGTAATCCTATGAATCTGTCACTACTATGCAAAAATAGACAGGACAGAAAAATCTTGGGACCTCAACAGCACTTCTGGAATTTCAGTGCAGATGAATCTCTCAGGATAAGCTTAAGAAAGAACCACCCTTGAGAGTAATACGGAGAGCTTTTGAAAAAATATCCTGTGAAGTCATACAAAAACCTAACAGTTGTGATTAAAAATTATTCTGCACAGAGAGGTGCTGGTAACGTGAGAAGCTCATGACCTACCTAGAAGTCAAGTATGTTAAGTGCCCATAAGGGTTAAGAAACCCATCAGTTCAGAGAAGGCTTTGAGATTGAAGTAGCATTCTCAGAAAAAAAAAAAATTATAAAGAGGAAAGCTTTCCCCTTTGTGATCTCTGGAAACTACTAACTGACTTCAAGGGAGGCTCCAGCTATAGAGAACACAACTTTGGCCACCAACAAGAGAAAACCTCAAGGTGTGTGATGGGAGATGACACAATAGCTCCAGCAAATCTTCAGACAATGGCCAGTTCAGTGGAGAAATATGCCTTTGTCCATTACATGCTGTAGGCAATGCAAGTTAGAGCCAGAGCTATTGCTTTCTAAGCTAGGTGAAAAAAGAGTCAAGCTTAACTCTAGGAAATGGACAAAGATGCCATATTGGCTCATGCCATCCTGTGTTTGATGGGGGCCAGCTGTAGCTGGCTGGGGAAGATTATAGGAAATAAAGGACAGAAGAAATCTCTGAATTCAGAATTCAGCTACTGATGGATTGAGTTGCTTCATTTCAACTATGAAATGGGCACTGCCCACCAGCCCCATCTGAACCTGCCAAGGCCCAGGCTCCCACAGCAGCCCCAGGGCCACCAGCCCCTGCCCCACTGAGGCCGCAGCAGGGTCAGGATGCAACTCTCCACAGCCCTGCCCTGCCCAGCCATGGCCCCTGCCCAGCTGGGCCCATGCCTGTGCCTACGGGCCTGGCCTCAGCCTGGTCCCAGCCCCATGGAGGTGCCCCATGCCCAAGGCTGCAGCTGTCCCAGTGCCCCCGATGCCCTGGTTCTGGTGGGGCACTGGGCTACCCAGGGAGACCCCTGATGTCCCCTGACAGCCTAGATCCATGGTGCCCTGACAGGAAGCAGATTCAGGACTTCCTAGGACACCATGCACAGATCTGAAATCTCTGTCATGGACAGAGGTACACAAGTCCAAGCAAAGAGGGAAGGTGATGGCTTTACTAGGTCCCAGTACTAATGTAAATCTATCCTTGCATTACTATGCTATCATCTGCTCCATTATTTGCTGTTATACTCACTCACACACCCTGTGTGGTTTTTCTTCCACAACTACCCATTTGTTACTAGACTTGTGCAGAAACAGTTTTCTTAAAGATGTACTATGTGACTATGCACAAGCTGATCATTTGGAAATGCTGCAGATTCATCAAAATGTCATCCTGAGGCCTAAACACAACCCAGGCTTGTGGTCTGCACATATTTGTATCTGCATTACTTCTCATTTAACATGAAAAAACATCACTCTGATCCTCCTTCAGAGCAAAACTCAATAGTCATCTCATGTGATTTTCCTTCCTCTCGAATTCCACAGCAATCTCCAACAAACTGGCAGCAGGCGCTGATTTCAGCTGGCACTCTCAGAGCATATGCAGCAGTTCAGCATTCTGCTGTACCTGTGCCCAACTACAGACTTCACAGATGAATTAAACAAAAACAAAACAAAACAAAAAAAAGCCTCTGATTTCCTACCTCTAATTCTGCACATACATGGTACATAGCACCTGACAGACCCTATTCATAGGATACCACAGTTTAATCTGTATGACCCAAACTGGATAGATTAAAACAAAACAACAAAACAAAAACTGTGATAATTACTGTAGTAATTTTAAAATGTTTGGTTATTTTCAACTTGCTTGTTATAAAGCAATGAAAATTGAATGGAAGTTTTAAAGGAGGACTAAAACGAAAAGGATTATAAATATTCCCTATAGTATTCAGGCCTTGAGTTATGGTTACAGAATCAATTTCCCTTTACACTTTTTTTTAATGTTAGAGTAGGTACTTCTAACTGAAATATCAGAATTGATCTCTCTGGATGGAGTATAATCACCCACACAAACCTAGCAGACTACAGAACTCAGACATCAGTTCTTGCAATTCTGCCCAGCTTAGATATGACTTTAGATCCTTTTGACAGAGTCAGCACCATCTCTGAGATTGCCCTTGTTAGCTCATTTTGAGAGTAAACAAAACCAGCTTGCATGAAAGCAGCCCTAGCGTGGAAGACTAGTGCCCTGTGAGACAGCAGGGAATGGCTACAGTAGTTTCAACATATGCTGCCCTTCCCATTATTCACAGCCAATTACGGATGCCAGGGGACAGGCTTTCATGCCATTTCTCAAGAGACAAATGCATTTCTTCATTTTCCTGATGAGCCATTTATCAGAAGTTTTGTTCAATAGAGAAAAGCAAAAAGAAAAGCAGATCTCTAGTATCTCTTTGCATATGGAGGCTGACGTGAAATGAAAAATAGTGAGAGGAATTAAACAAAATATCTCTAGCCCATAAGATACCTACTCTGAGTTAATGACAAATGATTTTCTTAGTACTTGAGTATTATGATCACATACCCTTCCCCAGATAAAAGCAACAGACTTCATCAGAAAACTCACCTTTCTTGAACTGCTAGTGCTTTTATCATTAGATATAGGAGATAATTTCCTGGTTTATATGAAAGACAGACAGTTGGAACAAAGGTTTCTTACCGTTAAGGACAAAGCCATGCAAACAAAAGTGAACTTCTTGATATGTGTCGCTGTGACAGTGCTGTTGGTGTTCACCAGTTTATTGCTGGGGTTATTCTACGGTGAGAGAAAGAGATAACAAGCATTAGCGTGGCTCCAGACTACTGGGAAGCTGACAGCACCAGGGTCATTCTGTTGTATCTGACTGTCTGTGTGTATACACGTCTTTCTTTGCTTGTTTGCTTTTTCATCCAGAGCTTTCTGAGTAAATATTTTCTGCTTAAACTGATGGTAACTCATCCTATGGTCACTGATGGCCTGAGTAATCTCCCTAGTTTTCTAAGGAGTAAGTCCTATTTAACAAATTCAGCTTTGGAAAAGAACTGTAACTCTTTCTAAGGAAACACCATGTGATTTTTTTAACCTTAAAGTCTGTAGCATGTTTTCACAGGAAAAATAGGATTTCATTCTCTTTTACCACAGAGTGGTACCAAATCCATATACACATGTAAACACCCTTACTGATCCAATTAGCCAAGCAGGTAATATAAACAAAGCTTCTGGAACAGCTGGCTCTGTTAATGTAGTTTAATGAACAGAACATAATTAGGACTATTAGATGTTCCACCTTGAACATGAGCCCTGTACTCATGGCAGCGAAGTTTTACTTAAAACAACAAAGACCCTTCTCCAAATGTCTAATGTACCAAATGAAGCTGAAGATTTAAAATTACCCTCAGAGAACACACTAACACAAACCAGATGGTCTGTGAAAGAAAAGGAAAGGATATTAAAAGCAGGGCACCATTAGGAGCCCTATAGCAATAGGGTGTTGGGTCATGTACCTGCATTTATCCCAGGGATGTTTGAGACACACCTGGCCGTGACCAAACTGGTAAGAATGGTACTATGAGATGTAGTACCACATTTATTCATCCTTAATGTAGCTCAAGTAGAACAGCAGTACCTGACACATGGTCATCTTACATTACTAAAGTTAATTGTAAGAGAAATAGGAACTTGCACAAACACATCTTGGGAATGGACAAAATGAACATAAGCTCTGTGAATGGTACACCATTTCATACACATCTGAGTAGTTGATGGAACTTCAAAACGTAAAGCTATTTAGTGATCAGTGCACTGATGGCACATGACAGCTTTACCATCTCAACTAAAAACCTGCTTGGAAGCTTCGGTGCATGAAAATGCTTGACCTTTGCATAGAGGCAAGCCAACTTAGAAGGAAGCTACTTCCAAGTCTTCCCTTTTTGGGAACAAGTTAATAAAACTTTCTGTAAACATTTTTTTTATTACTATATGATTATTTCTTGTGTTTTTGAAGAAATACTGTTTTACTGTTAGCTTTATGTAAATGAGGATGGGCCTTGCTTACTTCATGCATCAAGGTTTAAACAAACTGCTGCATAGCTCAACTTTCTCATAAGGCTAAAATGACAGGAAAAAAAGGCACATCTCAATCCAAGCATGTAAAAAGGCTGTGATGAAGGAGAAAGAGCTCTCATTCGTTTCTATCTTGCTGCTTCTAACACTGTCCTTGTTTGGCTCTGCCCTTCACCCTAACTCTTAACCACATACTCTTTATTCCCATCTCTTGCACTGCTGCTTAGTTATTGAAACAAAACACCATGCAGATTATAGAGTAAAGAATTCCCATCTATTCATCAGTTCAATAGCGTTCACAAGTCCTCTCATAGTCAGTCAACTGTTCGCTCTGAAACAAGTGGCACAGTCCTTTAAGAATAATGGCATTATCACTACATAAAATAGCAAACAGAGTGCAGAACTAGAGCATTCCTGTTTCGTTTAGCAAATCAGGAGTACCCGTAAACTGAGGGCCACTACTAGGCCGTGAGGTTGCCCTGGACAGAGAGTTGCATAAAACACTGAAGCATGACTCAGAATCTCTTGTACAAATGTGATCTCTTACAAATGTGAATTTAAAAGTGAATTTCCCTTTGAAGACAAGAATCTCACTTGTCCAGTATAGGCATTGAAGAAGGGCATACTTTCTGGATCCCAAATCCCATCGGTCTGTTAAGGCAATTCAGTGTGCCTCTGATGGCCATCTGCATTACCAGTTTTCTGAGTGACTGACAAAAGAAAATGTTCACACACATGCAAACTGTTTCAACATCTGAGAATCAAAACAGGTTTTATGAAGGCTGAAAATAAAAGGAGGTTCTATCTCTGAGCAAAGCTTAGCTTAAGGAAACAAAGCTTGTGAAAGGCCTAGCGACACGTGAATGATGTGTGACCAGGTGTGAAACGCTTCTCACAGCAATCTAGAAAAAGCACTGTTTCTGATCTGGTATTTATTGTCTGAAAGGCACAAGTGACTGCCAGAAAGAGATACCCTTTATACAGTTGCTACTGCAGTTAGCACATTTTAAGCCAAGTTATTCTTGAAACATGCAACTAAAATCACTATTCCATACATTTTTGGCAATTAGATCACTGGCACCTATCTGTGCCTTATCCTAACCTTTTCTTCCTCACATTTATTCCTCCAGAGCAGACAAATAACGGTCTAATCCTGTCACCATCTAAGTCAGTAGTGCATTCTCACAGGTAAGTGAGACCTGGATTTAAGTCTCTTAATTACTGTTAATTTCACAAGGCCGTAGTTTGAAAGAGATATGCACTTGATTGTAGCTCTTAACACATGTGGTTAGCAGCTGTGTTTCCTGTTCCAACCCATTTTTACCTTGCAGTCTATTAATTCAGCATTCTGCAGTTTCTTTTCAGCAGCATGACCTCTGAGAAGGTCTCTGTGTTGTCTTGTATCTGAGATGTCAATTCAGCTGTATACAGGCAAGTTAGGAAGTTATGACTGATGCGACTTTTTTATTTTATTTTAAATTTTCCTTGGAAGTACTGTGGATCAAATCAAAACGGTCTTGCTTCAGCTAAGTATATTCCTGAGCAAGCGAACATTATTTTTTCATTAATATTTGGAACCAGAAAGTTCGGTTGACATAACTAATTGGTAAATAAAGAGAAGGAGGGAAGATAGCATTTGACATTTGAACTAGACTATCATAGGACATCACTGTTCTTCAGACAACATATGGGCTAGTGAGTACCAATTTGAAAACTGAGCAAAACAGAGTCTAAACAAAATTAACTTTGGTTATATTTTTACTCGGCACACAATTCCAGAAGCAGTCCTTGCATTCTTATGTAATTACATGATTTGGCAACAAAAATCTTCATAGACTTGGTCAGCTAAGTAAATACTTCTAAAATTAGACATTATCTGTGTTTACTGTTATTGGAAGAAATAACCTTTTGTTAAATATTAATATAAGCAAAAGAACCCAAACCCATGTCACAGATAATGCAGAATCTGAATAACAGGCTGTCTCCGGAGCAAAGACACAAGCTCTTTCATTTTGTACTCTTTGTGAGACCTCATTTCATTAGCTATGAAGCTATGTCACAGTAAGTGAGGATTTTTTTTAAATCCTTAAAACAATAGCAACTGTCTATTCAAAAGGTAGCTTAATACCTTGCAACACAGAGTTAAAGTTAAAATCATAAATTAGACAACAGCTTGAAGCCACTGAAAAAATAATTCATTTAAACTAGGATTTTAAGAAAACCTTATCAATGGGACAAGGAACAATAGGTATCAAAGACAAAAGTAGAGAGAAACAAAACTATAGATGACCATTAGTACAGCCCTATTTAATCTTTGGTTGTTCTATTTTTTTTTTTTAAAGAAGCTATTACACATATTTACAGAGACATGAACTATCTTTCTTCATATTTGTTTGGCAGAAATTCCTCTGATATCACTGAAGCTTCCCTCAGATTGAAATGTTGTAACAGAGAGAAAGAGGAGGATCATGGATGTGAAATCACACTAGTGGTATTTACTACACTCCTAACATGGGCACTCACCTTGTCAAAAGCTGGGTATACTGCTCTAATTTCTGTCAGCCAGCCGTACGGCATGTGTCCCACAGGATAGGTAGCTGTCAGAATTGCCACTGCCTATGAAAAATTACAAGGAAACACAAACTTCAAATCTTTGAACAGAACAGTTAAACTAACGCAGTATGCCATTTTCCATGAATACTGCCACATGGACCTTGATGCAATGAGAAACGATGCAGGAAACTGGAAGCTCTTTGCTTCAGGACCACTGTCAGAGCAGCCATCATTCTGCTAGGCACTTGAAGCTTAGGAAATATATCATGCAATAGAGCTGTATTACTCAGCTTTGCCATTTCACTGTCATGCTGATACTCTGGGATGATAGCTACCTTCAGTTGGTGTGCGCCCCTCGTTCTGCTGAACACCTCCCTCCCACATTTCTCCCAGGTTATTTTATCTAGAGACACCTGAGCAGCAGAATGCGTTATGGCTCATATTCTAAGAGCCCTTCATCATATTTCATAAACTTAGATACATTTCACTTGGTTATTTGTATGTAAAATGCTTTAAGTATGACTGATTCTAAAGCAGTAGGTCTCTGTGGCTGACTGATGATGGGTTTCAAACTGACTGCTGTGGGGTTGGAGGCACTTATAAGAAAAACAAAAACACTCTCCCAACTTTGGTGCTAATCAATTAAAAGCAAAAAACAGACAAAATCAAATCCAGATGACCATTTTGATCATGAGAAACAACTCACTATCTGCAAGTTAAACTAGGTCCCTTTTGCATTTTCACAAGTACAGACAAGAGATACATCAGACATTAAAAAGTCCATATATTCATGCAACAAGTTAATTTGCACCCTGTGTTGTTTAAAAAAACAGCATGGGAAAAAAACAGTCAAATCTACAGAGTGAACCGGAATAGAGGGGGAAAGATATTCTCTGCTAACCTTCTACTGTAAATGATGTTTAATGAAACTTGAAAGAGTAATTGGTTCAAAGAAAATAAATTGGAATTTTAAAACTGTACCCTTTTAAAATGCAATTTCCCCTCCTTATTGCTCTATTTTCATCAGAATTTCTATCTATATGAAAGCTAATGAGATTAAAATGAGGAATAAATAAAAGAAGAATATGAAAGATACTGAAGTTTCATTTATTTACATGGTGAAGTCCAATAAGACTGTGTAGATGCAGTAACCATTAAAGAAAACAATAATTCACCATCTAATTTGGTATGCTAAATTCCACTTGGATTAAGTTACTGAGTTTTTAACACTGATCATTCTTCTTGTAATTTTCACTGATTGATGGAATCCCAAACTACATCCACAAAAGTTTTTCTAAATGTCTAGAACAGAAGTATTTGACACGGGGAAGAAAACTCCCCATGAAAATCAACACCAAAAAAAATCACCATAATTGTGCTGGCAGTCTGAACAGGACCTGTGGGAGTAGGTCAATGCAAGTGGACTTGCTGTCCTCATGAAGATGCTACAGCCCAGCTCTTCAAAGGCACATCCTGGACACACTGAAATTTGCTGACAGCATTGAACAGGAGAACTATAAAACTCCTGTCTATAGTGATGTTCCAGACACTGATGTTATCTGTGTTGCCAGCACCTCCTTTTTCAGAGGCAATTAGTTTATAAATCAGGGAAAGCTGAAATGTGGCAATTAGTGTATAAAGACCAGCAAATCACCAACATGTATCTGACATGTTGGTGATACATGACATGTATCTGGAGACAGCCTAATAGCAACAAAGTGCAACAGGCTAGTCATGAAACATGATGCATCTAAAGTCAGATATCAACAAGAAATGCACAATTAATCTCTGCTAACCTGCTCTGCCTCCCCTTGTACCAAGACTGCTACTTAACACATAGACTAATCCCTGATTTACACATGTCGAAGTGCTAGGTTTCCTAAATTTTCCCTCCACAGTTGCTGTAGTCACTGGTAACTTTTGAGTGAGTGAAATATGTGGTATCATATATAACAAATTATTAGCATTGCTGAGAAAATATTTGTTAGGCATCAGCAATTTCAATTTTCCTTTTCATTTAGTATCTTATGGCTTTGTTTTTCGTAGAGAAAAGGTGAGAGATTTGCTAATGGCTATGTGGATCTACACCTCATCCCACTAAAACTGGCAGCAAGGGTCCCTCAGACTTCTTAAGAGAATAGGTCAGCTCCTGATGAGCATTTGGTGAAGGCTTTGCATTACAAACAGAAGTCCTGCTACCATCAGCTGTAGGAGACCACATGTTACAGCTGAATATCCTCCAGAGAAACAAGGTACACTGCATATCCCAGTCAAGAGACAGATGTTCTTTATGTGCTTCCTCATGTTTTCTGCCCTATTCTGTGTAATGCACTGGATTCTAACAGCAGTATTGTTTCACATCTATTTGCATAGCCGTAAATCTTTTTCGGCTTCTGGGAACAGTTCTCTGGGATTTGAATGCTCCAGCACATACCCATATGTAGAGCTTGAAATCATGGGATGCCAGAACTGTTCAGTGAAAAAAATCTACCGGTCTTGTTAAGGGTGAGATGCCTGGTAGAAATGCCCATGTTAAGACTCTGAACAATCTTCTTCTAAGGATAAAGAAATAACTAAAAAGCAATTTATTTAGGACATTTTTTTTCTTGCCAGTATGGCTGAGAAGAGAAACACAGAGGCAACTCCATGTAAATGATCATTTTCAGAAATGGGGAGCACTGACTTTCTCACCTCTGTGGCCGAAGAACTGCCACCTAGGTCCCGGGAGACAAAAAGGTTGACAATGGGCCTACTTATTCGCTGAGTTGCCAAAATTAATGCCAAAGGCCACCAGAAGCTCAGCATCTTCCTTATTGTAGCCTCTCCCTGCAACACGAGAAAACAAACAAACAAAAATAAATAAATAAATAAATAAATGGCTTCAGAAAGAAATAAGTTGAACTGAATCAAAAGCACATGGAAAGCATTTCTCCTTTTCCCACCCACCATCAGTTTGGTACATTCATTTCAATATGCTTCAATAGCAGAAGGCTAAAATATTTCCTCCTTTTCACCTATAGAAATATTGATTCAAAATATATTTTGAAAAGTATATTTCATCTACAGTAAGACTGATTCAAAAAACTGTGTCATGGATCTCAATAAATAATGCATAAGGTATCTGCATAACTTGTTCTGGCTACTAGACAAAGGAACGTGAAAGCCAATGTAACATTCAGAGAAAATGAGGAGTTTTGAGACATTCTTCCCTGTGAAATAAAGCGTCCACTTAGTTCATTCTGTGCTGCCTCACAGCACCGAAAGGAGAGAGCTCAGCACTGAGATGCTAAGTAGACAGCGCATCAATAGCACCTAAAGCACTGCCTCATGTGCTCCGTAGCTGTAATGGTTTCCATCACGCCTGTTTAAATGATGTTTTTTCCTTGCAGGATGGAGAAAGCAGGCCCTTCATTCACAGTGGTTTAATAGAGCCTTATAACACAAGAAGCAAGTTTATTTAATCAAAAAAATCACCACGTATTAAGCCATACCCCCATTTCAGGCCCACTTCTGTCAGGAATGACATCATGTATGTTCCTGTAGTATCCCAGGCATAGTGTGGTACACCGGACAAGTGCTCCCATGTAGAGTGACAAGATTGGGATCAAGAGAGGCTCCCTGCACTCCAAGTGACTGTGAAGCAAAATGGCTACAAAAACAACCTGCAAAACAAACAAATAAAAGATTAGTAGTTTGTTTGTCTGTTTCTTCAGGGCCAATGTGTCCCCTGGCTGACTCCATGCTAGTGCATTTGAGCCAACAACCACGCATGACTACAGTATCTGACTTGTAGCATTTAGAAACTTCAGTTCTCCCCTGCATTCAGTCATACAAATGAGAAGAACAAGAGTTAATATTATACAGAAGTTATATAAAAAGTACTTGAAGGTATGTGCAGGTGTCAGACTAGGGGCCATAAATAGGAGGCTGGCATGCAAGCCTGGCAAAGTCTGGCAGCAAGCACATGGTTGAGTGTCACCCTTCCCAGGAGAATGTGGTATGCTGATACAGACTGAGGCTGGAGACTTCCTTCTAGGTTCAGCTTCCAAGCCCTGCTTTCTGTTTTGGGGGCGGAGCAGGAATTAAAAAGCCAGATGTCTTAAAAGTATTCACTTCAGCATTTAGAAGCAGTCTGAATTTATCCTGATTTTGTACTTTTTTGAGTGCAATTTCAGTATTTCTTCATTCTTTCTTGAGCTAAGTGCCATATTGATGTAACCAAAAAGGACTTTTTGGCTCATGAACAGTTTATAATTCAAACATTTAAAATTAAATGCTCAGTCCAGAAAATGAAAGGAATTGATTAATACAATATAATTCTTTTTCATTAAGTAAAGAGCTGACAGTATGTCTGTTAAATTCCAAGTGTCTCTGGATGATGGGCACAACTGGGAAACTAACTGTGTACGGTTTTGTGAACAGCAGCATCAGGAATAACCCTGCCAGGACAAGCCAGCATTCAAGTGAGTTCCAAGAAATACATTGTTCAGGGGCAGGTTCCCTCTTTCATTGCTAGAGCTTAAGAAATACTTAAATCACACTGTGAAAATGTTTATTAGGGAGGCCACGCTGTTTGATAGATTTGCAAAACAGCTCATTTGAACTCCACAAAAGAATCCTTCTTCATTAAACAAAAGTAAAGTCAGCCACAAAATGTGTACATGAAGCTATCCATGGAGAATTATCTACTGCCTGTGCACCTAATGCCTATGTAGGGAGTACATGTAGGTGTAGGCAGCTCTGGGCTATGGAGAACCACAAATTTTTGTCTTCTGGTTTTACGCTTGCTCTGTTCAATATTTTATTACAGGCTGGAGACAAGATGACAGGTGTCTTATTCTTCACAAGTTTGGCACCCCACTCACCAGCCACCATGAAAAGGGCATGCGTACCATGGCCAAAATAGGAATTCCAGCTTCTGTATTTAGGTGTAAATGACCTGACATGCATCTAAGGTCAGCAAACTTTGTAGGTCACATCAGAACAAGAGCAGAGCCTGGGTGTTAAAGTCATTTAAAGTAATTGGTATTATCTTCAGGGATTTAATGCAGTATTGTAAAGGGACAGACATGCCAAACATAGAATAGCAGCTGACTGAATGGTTTAACCCGGTTTATAGTTTGCTCCTACTTTGTGTGAGGGAAATGCTACAGAATATTGAACTAAGTGCTGTTGACTTATTTCTTTTGATGTTGTCCTATTATTATAGTCTTTCTTGCCCAGTTATTACCTCAGCTGATAATGGGGCAGTACTATAACTGCTCTGCAGGCTCTGGGATCTTCCATTCATAACATGGTCATAAATACTTCAAAAAGAGGACTCTGTGTTGGTTCTCAAATGGTACAATACCGGCCATCAGCAATGCATATGAATATTGTTTTACAAGCATGTCCCGTGCAAAGCAACAGGACATTTAACACCTCCCTCACAAACGTAAATTCAACATTGGGTCTTCCCTCTGTCACCCAGAGAGTATCACCACAGATATAGCTTCTGCTTCAGATCCAAGTCTTCAGCTTTTGGTCCAGTAACAAGAACAGTGCTATACCGGCATTCAGAAGATGGTTTACACCCCTGCATTTCAGCAGATTAGACATCATGTGCAAAACTGACAACTGGGCTGGAGAATCAAGCCTTAGCTTCCCTGCCTACACTCCCCACTCAGGATTTCACTGTAACTGTGTGAAGTGTGGGGGAGAATGTACACAGGGGAGAAAGGTCTCTATCAAAGTACTGCCTCAATTGGTGGCAGTCATCAATCCTTCTGGCTGACTTCTCTTTCCCCCAGGTGTACATGTGTATATATAGCTTGATTCTCAGCCATTGTAGCACAGTGTCTGGAAGTGCCAGAAGATACGTCCCTAACCCAAACAGTCCTGGCTCCTTCTCCTGTCATTGCTTCATGACTGACTTGATCCAGTCAAGTGAGACCAGCCTAAATCACAAGTATCAGCAAAGAGTGGGGAAACTACCAGAGAACAGTGCACAAGATTGTTTTCTCTGGTGTGCTGTCCATGGCAGAGAGAGAAGGCAGTCTCTGTGCAAAAGCATTACTGTTCAGGAAAGCATGAAGTCCATAACACAATTGAAAGAGTGACTGCCAAGAGGAGGCATTACCTGAGCTATGACATCTGAGATGGAGGCACATCCCACCAGGAAACTGTACTTGTGTTTCAGCAGAATCCCAGCATGGGTCCATGCCTGAAAAAAAAAGGCAGAACAGAATGTGTGATTATGGTATTTGTTAAGGATTTCAGGTCCCAGAATGATGTTTTTTATACAAAAAACTTACAAAGCTTTTTTACACCAGCAGCACCTGGTGTGAACCTGGGCAAATGTTAAGCAAGTAGGGCAGAGAAAGCACTACTGCATTTAGTTCCTCTTTGCCAGGGCTGGCAGGAAGAATGGGAATAATTTTACAGATTGCATAGAAATTTCTGAGCAGGATAGCCAATAAGAAAGTGTTCCTTCTAAACAGATGCTGCACAGGTTATCATACTAAATATTCTAAGGGAAAAATGTTTCCTGTCATTCACCAGTTGAATGCACCTCAGAAGTGTATTCATAGGCTATACTGAGCCCTGTCTTAAAAAGAAAGCGATCCAACTTCTTTTTACTGTCAGCTACTGTGTTAAGTGGAAAAAGCAGTGGAGGCATGCAATGAGAAGGTTATCCTTTCTGACTTTTACATAGAACTACTGGAATTAAAGAGAGCTGCCATGTCTTTGTTTACATTGTGCAGGCCACATGCAGTCAGCCTGGTGATCTGGAGAGCAGCAGCCCACCTACACATGTGGCTCTCTTCCCCATGCATTTGAGATACACTGGACTAAGCTGCACTTGCAAAAAATGATGGTAACAAATATCTTTTCAATAAATCTGCTTTGAGAAAGTATTGATCTATGAGCTCTGCAAGTGACTTGGGAATGCGCAGCAAATTGAAATTGTCCGATACAAATTGTATTGAGAGGACACATACAGACAATCTGTGCAGCCCATCACAAGATGACCAGTGCTTTCTAGCATGCATATACAGTAACTCTGCTAAGGCAGCCAAGGATTTTTACATTTGTCATGATCTCTGGATGTTCAACTCCACCCAGATGCTTTTTCCAGGTAGCAGAAGATGATGTGTTCATGTACATCCAGAGCTATTGCTTGCAAAGGACATGCCTTCCTTCTGCAGACCTTCAGCCTCCCATCAGGTAACAGACTTTGCAAACTACGGTCACCAAAGAAAAAAATAACATTGATATTAAAATTCAGTTCTGAATCATGCACTCACCATGGCATCCATAAAAGGGAAGGCAGCAAGATAAAGGAAGGCCCTCCGAGTTTTACTTCCCACTGATTCATCCACATGGTGTAGCTTATTAATAATGTAATACCCCAAATCGCTATATGCTGTAGAGATACAAGAATAGGAATGAATAATAAAGGTTACGTTATGGATTCTGCATAAGATGCTCAGAAGTACCCGAAAGAGTAGGATGCCTACAAGCTGTGAGATATACCCACTCAGCAAACAGCTGCAGGGGCTGCAGGATGTCACAGCCTCACCAGCTGCTATTTATTACTAAGGAGTGCTCTCGCAGCCCTTTTTCAAGTAACCTTTGGCAGAGGAGTGATAACAAATGGCCGGGTTGGGAAATGGGTATAGTAAGTGGCACATCTGTTTCCTAAATGAACACACTGGTACTCCAGAAAATCTACTGCTCTTTCATTAACTCAGGGCTCTTTGTTAGAGAAGCTGTTTTCACCAGACACTGTGTATTTCATGGGAAATAGTGCCGTATAAATTCTGAAACCACCTATTGCCACTGCATTCTCATGACATTACCTGTAAACCTGCCCAGAGCTGTAAAAGGAGCACTAGGATTTGCGAAGACATGCAATAAATCACACTCATTATGCTCCAGTGAGTGCCTCTCCCTTGCTCTGCCTAATGACCACCTCTGCTGGGACCTGTCAGGGCACAGCACAGCTCACTGCGTGTTTGCTGGGCAGCCTCTAACACCTCTTACTCTCCTTCCTCATTTACAGCTGGCATCTCAGGAGCCACAAGTCTGAAAAGGGTGCTTTGCACTGATGGAAATCAGGAGGTTGCCGCTTCCAGTCACCAGTGTATTTGCTGTCCAGTTTCAACCTCCGATGAGGAGAGTTTTTGAGAGTTTTTGTGTGAGCCTCAATCCAGACAGCCATGACTGCCCCAGATATGTTAAAATGGTAAAAACTCCCCATTTCCCTGTGCTGGTCCCTATCTACTACTGCTAGGCTCAGTCTCTCACTTCACCTGGTGATCCCCAAGCTGGGTAGCTATCCTTCTGAGCCACTCCCAGATAATTTCAGTTGTGTCCTTCCAAAGGGAGAGAACTTTACAACTGGACTCTAGCCTTTTCTGCATTCAGGGAGGCCAGCTTAACTCCTTAAGTACTCATTTAATTGCTGCTAAGTTCAGTCACACATCAGCCACAGCCTCTTCTTATTTTTGTATGAATATTCATACACCAATTTTCACTCATTATTTTGAAACCACTCTGTTACATATGGATTTCTGCGTGGTTACTCCTTGTAAAAAGCTGCTTTTGTGGCAGGCCAGTATGCCGATTTATCTGAATTTACTTATTTGAAGAAACAAGAACAAGTTTGGAAGGCATGTGAGGCAAGTTGCCTCTGAGGGCCAGATTTATTGAGTTCTCTTTTAGGTCCCATTGACGTTGCTTTAAACTTCTCCTACATAAAAGATTTAAAACTTTTGCAGGAAACACACCGGTCTTTTCCCCATATGGGGAGTAACAGAATCCAAGTCTATGTGCTGAGGAACCTCCTCTTGGGGAGTGATCTCCATCAGCAGTGAAATAGGGGGGAGGAAAGACACCATGCTGCAGAATTCATCTGTGCCCTCTGTGCACTCTGCCCTCTGGTCTTCTCCTGCTTTAAAGGAGATTTTTAAAGTGCTTAGAAAATAGTAAGTAATGAAAAACTTTTTTGTTTGGCTCTTAAAGCCATTATTATGTTTAACTTTTTTTTTTTCCCTTGAAGTTTAAATAAACAGAAAAATTCACAGAATTAGAGAGGTCAGAGACTGCATTACTTTCACTTCTAGGAACAGCCACTTCACCATAATTCAGTTCAATGGCAGGGCACTCTCAACGGACTTACACTACCACAGCCCACAGCACCAAATTTTTAAGATTTCTAGGGATATCAGCACTGTGCTTCTGTAAGCTTTAAGATTTGTCTTCCTCTTCTCCATCCACAAGAAGTTTAACCGCAGTTTTTAATGTGGCTTTTATTTTAAAATAATAGTGGCTAAGCTTAAAAACTAGTTTTAAAATTCTCAACTATTTTCTTCAACATGTCAGTGACAGCACACAATCACTGTTACTGATGTCAATGAACGTTTCCATCCTCAGAAAAGAAGGACTCAGCAAGCTGAGATTTACTGACAATTATACAGGCATGTGTCTCTGAGCTGTGAATAAAGCAATTGCTGATGCAATTAGAACTTAACCTTGGCAAACCTTACATACTTATTATGAAGCACAGAACAAAATTAATAACAGACAACAGAGCTGAAGAGTATTACATGAATCTAAAGCAGATGGCTATTCCCATTCCTTGCATCATTTCAACCAAAACAGAGGAGTCCAACTCCAAGACAAGCTGCCTGTTTACTCTCCTGGAATAACTCACTTATTTTGATATCTATGGATCAGTTTTGCTTCTGATACACCAGCATTTAAGCAGGAATTCTTGCTTCTGCCTTTTCTAGTTGAGTCGTAAGACCTGGGTGCATATGAAATGACAATGAAATACTGTGCACCTAACTGGATCTACTCTCTTCTACACTGATTTCTCTAATGAGCTGATTATAACCACATACATTTCAGACATCCTTGAAATAACTGAACACACGCTTAATGATGCAAGCAGTCTCAAAGAAACAGCCACACTGTAGTAATTTTGGGGCTATCTACTATCTAGTATGTAATATATACATCATAAAGAAAACAAAAAGAAACCCTCACAGGAAGTGATATCACTTACTTCTAGGTACAGAGCTGCATATGTCAATATTCACTTTACTGGAGTAAAAAATCAATAACAAAACAAACAAACAAACAAAAACATCAATAATTTTTTGGGGGTTAAGTATGTGGGTTTTTTTAGAAGCATTCCATATTTATTCTTTGGTGCCAGTTTTAAAAATTAACTCACTTGAGAAGTAAACATCTATCCTGCTGCTAGTCAGAAAGATACCTCACAGGGCCAAAACCAGCTAAGTGATTTAGGCAGATAAGAAAAGGCCAACTTGCTAAAAATACAAAATTATAATGGCAAGTCTGCAATTGGAGATGGCACAGGTTACATAGATTTTGTGATGTCTTTGATTAGCCTGACATAAAACAGGAACAAAAGCCTGGGTTCCCCATGCAAAAATTCAGATGATCAGGGTGTCTTGGGTATTGCATTTCTTTTTTTTTTTTTTTTTTTCTCACAGCAATGAATGAATAATAAAACCAGCTTATGAACATCTCAGTGAAGACTGATAATTGCAGTTAGCATCTTCTGTGATCAGCTGTAGTTGCGAAATTCAATTAGTTAATTTTTCCAAATTACCAATGTCCAATGGTCTCTTTGGGTAGGCCAACATCTCATAAGTCTCAAAATTTGCCTGTTTTAATTAAATAAAATATATCCTAAAATCAGCTGTGGTCGTAGGCTTTCTTCCTTCTTCCTTTGTCCTGAACAACTTGCTGAAAAGGAACTGCCCTTGTTGTGGAAGAAGAGCTGGAGCAGCTGGGGAAGCAAGTTACTGCTTTAACAACAGTCACTTGAAGATGCTGAGGCAGGACATGTTTTTAATAAAAAACATCATCTCTTAGTAGACAAAAATAAAAAGTAAGCTTGGATTATATTCCAATTTGTGTTCCTGTGCTTTCATCTTTTTCCAGGGCAAAAAGTTTAGTACAAACCAGTATAGTGGCCATGTCAGAACAGGATTGACTGGAAAAAAATAGCTTGGTTTGGCATAAGCTCTACTATGATTCCTAGTCATGGAAAAAATCCAGTAGTGTTACACTGGAAGCAGTTGGATTACACATATACCTCACTTCTTCTGCAGATCATTAATGTATATGCAGTGACCATACAAGCAGGTTCAAAAAAATTACTAGCAACTGCTGACATTTTCACCTGTGCAGGGAGGGGCCCTTGCCCACTAGGAGATCAGTAATAAACTGGCACAAACAAACAATAGGGTCACTCATACTTATTGGCCATCCAGTCTGCTATGTTTGCCTTGCTACTAAAGTTGCAACCTTTTTTTCTTGGTGATGCCAAATGATCCACCATGGAATTTTGGTCAGGTGCAGGGGGCACCATTGAAAGGTGTCTACTTAAGCAAAGAGGCTGCTTCCTCTTTGGAAATAAACTTTTGCAGTATAGTATTTCTCAGCAAAGTAGTGAAACGCTGAACAATGCTGTTTTCTTGCCAAAGAAGATGTGCATATCCTTCATGACACCAGTGTTAAAAGGACTCGCACAGTATTGAGGACTTACCAGCAGCACCTATTAATGCATTATGTTAGCATACTGCTCTATAAATTAGTGCTCTATTCTCTTCTCTGTCAAGCTGGTAGTTTATGAAAATGTCAAAAGTATGCACAGACAGGTTTATCATCTTGAATTCCTTCTCTTATAGCCCAATATTCCCACTCAAAAGCCTATCTCTGAAATAACTAGATGCTTTAGACTCCTTCCTACAAGAAAACTCTCATGGCAGTAGCTGCTCCCAGAATAGCACAAGAGAAGGAAGGCAGCCTACTATCTTCTATTTCCAGATCAAAAGTGAGACAGCAAAAGCAGGAATAACATACTGACCAAGGCTTACAGCAGCACTTTAAGCAAGAGAAGAATAAAGTTTCAGTTGCCTTTCATCAAGTCGTTTCTTGGTTCTTACTGCTACCTGCACAGGAGAATGATAGGAACTATTGGTGAAGATACTGTGGATGTTCATGGGAATGTGGTATAGTGATGACTTAAGGACTGCATGCTGTGAGTTTGAGTGGTTTGGCTCAGCCAGTCACTCCCACAGAGGACTGTGTTAGCCCCTATGGAGGAACAGTAGTGGGGAGCTGATGCTGAAGAAATGAAGGCAGTTGAGTGAAATTGTTTGTTTTGATATTTCAAACAAGTAGAGGCTGCTGTCTGTGAGGCGCTGGGTGTACAGACTGCAAAGAGTCTCTATCACAGTTGGAAATGTGGTGATTCATTGTGGTCACTGTGTTTCTACCAGCACTTGTTTTCTTCCTTCTGACCTTCTGTACTCCTTATTTCTTTGGCTTTTTTCTTTGTTCCTTCTCCTGGGCTTCGACATCCACAGCAAGCAGTCATGCCATCTTCCTTAGCCCCATACATACGGCATGCAAAAGAAATTCAGTCCCTTAAGTGGTGTTTGTCTCAGTTTTTCATCTGTCAAGTATCAGTAACCTGAATTTCTCTCTCCTGTAGATGGACTGTAACAAGCTCGTGGCTGTTGGGGAGTAGCTGCAGATCCTCAGAAGTTGCCTGTCTGCCACTGGACTCCTTCTCCTCCTTCTGCTAGGAAGACTGTGCATCTGTGGGTCAGAAAAGAATAATCAGGATTTGAAACATGTTCAAAGTAAATTTGAAACACAAAACTTGGCAACATCACCCAGGCAATTGGTGCTAGAATCTGACTAACTCCATTCTCTCGGGCGCTCTGCCAGTCTCTGCTGTGGCCTTTGCATATTTTCAGGCATAGACAAGTTAAAATACTAAAAAATATTTTGCAGTCTGCCACCATAAGCAGCTGAAAGATTGTGCAAAGCCCTTTAACCAATGGCTTTAAGGCATGGAAAGTACAGCCTTCATATTTTATTTATTTTTTAATATCTGCAGAGAGGGCATTTCAGAGGTTCTGAACTCAGCAGGGCTCTATTTCCAGGCAAAACCAAAAGACTTATCTGGCATGTTTTCAAATGGCTGCCCAAACAACTCTCCTCAATAAAAAGTCTCACATGGAAAATTCAGCTGCCTTTCACCTGGATATTTGATAGTTATACTTGTTCTCAAATGTTCCCAAAATCTATAATAGCTTAAAATGAAATTTTGAGTGACTAGAAAATACTTCTTTTATCCAGTTGGCTAAGACAAAAACTTTGACCAGGACTGGGAGGGAAACAAGTGTGCAACTAGAATAGCAGCTCTGGGGGCTGAAGAAACATTCAAACAAGCAAAGAAACTGGAAAGCCAAACTTACAAATGGCCCAAAGCCTGTAACACCAGTGCAGTGAAACAGCCTCAACTGTAAGCACATCGAGGAAGTGACCAGTTGATACTGGTGAAATAAATTAACTTCAGCACGGATTTTTATCGTGAATTCAGCTTACAAAATTAGCAACTGCTTAACCCTGCCACAGACTTGCCATGGCTAGTGAGCCATTACTGCAAGCATTTATTATGACTGTAACATAGAGAAAAAGTAAACAGTATGGGGCTGCTGTATCAGTGGAGGAATAAGAGACACCATGGTGAAACAAACTGGAGTGTTTGGGAGGCACGTAGGGCCATTAAACACAGCTGGCAGCCTGTTAAAGGGTAAGAGCAGTGGGCTTCATATCTGCCCGCTCTACCCAGACAGTAACAGTATGCTGAGCAAGTGCTGTTCTTCAGACATGTTAGTGTCTGATAATGAATGGTGCCCCGCTTCCAGGCCACTCCATAATTTCACAGCAATTCAGGAAATTGCTATCACACTCGCTTTTCCCATTCAGCTGGTTGACCCCCTACTGCTGGTCAACCAGCTCCATCCTACTGCCTATCAACCAACATGTACCTCCACAGGCTGTTGTGTTACCTCCCTCCACCCCCTTCTCAGAGCTCCCAGCTATTTGGATTGTACCTGTAGAACGAAATGCACTCTCTGCTTCTTCCTCCAGCGTCCTTTATTCCTCATTGCCGAGCTACAGAGGTTTCAGCTCCGTGGAATGAGCCACAACATGCAGAAAATGTGGTGCAGTTCTTGGAGAGGATGAAGTTGCAGCCTTCCAGGTCATGTGGCTTTTTTATTGTTGTGGTGTTGGTCGATGCTTGGGTTGATAAGACATTTCTCCAGGCTATCAGGAATTGGCAAATCCTGCGGTTGCCTTATTTGTCATGTTCAGTTCAGAACTGCTTGTGTATTTCCCTTGTTTCAGAGTACACTGAGAGAGCTGACCTCAGTTTGACATAAAGTGCTGTTTGGAACTGCTTCTTCTTTCACAAGTTAATTACTCAACAGAAGTGAATGATGACTAGCACTAGTAGAGAGTAATACCTGATATTTCAATGATGTTGCTGACCTACTGACTTAAGAGACTTGTACTGCATGGTAAGTAGCAAAGGAACTGGTACAGAGGGAGTAACTAACAACGCCACCAAGATCTGGCAAAGAGCTCTGCCTTCAACATCTTGAAGGCTGGCTACAAAGTGATGTGCCAAAACCATTTGGGCAGATATTGCTAGGTGCTTACCTAACAGTAACACTGAGCTATCTGCTTCATGCAACCTGCCAACCTTACCAGAGTTTTGCTCACACACCTGACTAAAAAAGATTAGCAGCATGTTGAGCAGCCAGGCAGGTGAGCCCTGGAGGTGGAATATACCACTTAACAACCTGTTTTAACAGTATTAAAAATTGCATGGCTTGGGCATGCTACCAACACAAGAGAGTTCATCGCTTCTGCATTTCCCCTTGTACTAACAAATGAAATCTTAAACCTACAAATTAATATGTTTGAAGACTAGCTGAGGGAAGCAAAATAAAAGATGTGTTAATTAGATATGAAGTAACCTTACCTATTAAGGTATGAAATACAGCAGCTACAGCGCCAGCCACAACCATGCACAAAACTGCTTTGGTCCTGTCTCTCTTGCTGTTCACAAACACCAGACCTACGTTTTTGAAGTCACTCATTGGACCTGTGAAGAACTTCATCAGGGAGTACGCCAGCCCATAGCTGGCCAGCATTTCCACAGCATCTTCCTTAACTGCAGCGATGCCCCTATTCAAGGCCTGTTGAAACACAAAAAGACAGAGAAAATACTGCAGCAAATGTGAAAGCATAGCAAAACAATCTTCTCCAGATGGTGTCTGAAAGAACAAGTTCAGCTCTCACTGTTTACACCCTGAGTTGACTTTTGTTTCTCTGGGTTCAGCAGCAGTAAGTGATGTGACATAAGCAACTTCATAATTTCATACAGCCTGTAAGTTCAAGTCATATAGATTTGGAGATAAACTGTGTTTTAGGAACTAAGGTAGATATCTACTTCTAAAGTATATCATGCAATTCCTGCTATACCAGAAGTTAGTTTTTCTCCTTTTTAGAGTAATTGTATGACCTGCTAATATACATAGATGATACAAGACCCTTTAAATGCCACTTTGAGGCCTTAGGTCTGAATTAAACAATGGACAGTCCTTGTAGGCCTCTGCACAGGTAAAAAGCAAAACAAAACAAAAAAACTCTAACGTTATTAAATGCTGAAATTTCAGGAGCTCAAAGGTTTTTTTTCCTGTGTAATGAGATTTTCACTATATCCTATGGATTTGTTTTGAATAACGGTACTGTGCCATGATGTGTATTATTATAAAACTAGGGCAAATATGCACATGACTAAACATATCTGTTCTGCTTTCATGTATTTTGAATTTAGGTTTAGATTGGATATTAGGAAGAATTTCTTCACAGAGAGGGTGGTCAAGCATTGGAATGGGCTTCTCAGGGTAGTAGTGGAGCCCCCATCCCTGGAGGTATTTAAAAGAAATGTGGACGTTACACTAAGAGGCATGGTTTAGTCATCTGACTTTGTAGGTGAGGTTAATGTTTGGACTTGATGATCTTGAATATCCTATATTTATTTATGACTCTTTCTAACAAATTTAAAAAGAAATGCAGCATATGTATTTCAAGGCATATTTAGGTTCAGATAACCTCACAAGTCATTCCAGGTCTGTATTTAGGAAATGTTCAACAATGAATTGCTGAGAATTAAATGGATTATTTTTATTGCTATGGTAAACCACAGCAAAAAATGTGTAACATTGCTTCAGATTCCAGCTTGTAACAAAATGCTTCTAAAATTTCAAATACAAATGACAGAATGATAAGATTTATTTGCAGTGTGACAACATCAATCATCTCATATATTCAGAAAACTTAAAACAGGATTAGATTCAAAAAGCATGAAGGATGAAACATGACTTGTTTTCACAAGTATTTAGTTCCTATGGGTTACATACAGTTGGTGTGTGTTGACAGGGCTGCGCCACTTTGGCCAACCAGGAATATCTCTCCAAACCATGCTACAAATCTCAGTCTATCCACTTCCACAGTACTTCCAATACTGCTTTTTTTTTTTCTTTTCTTTCTTTCTTTTTTTTTTTTTTTCTGAATGAACGAACCACAGACAGCGTATCATCAGGTAACTGTGGTGAAGTCCATAATTCGAAGTTCCATTTCAAATCTAAGCATGGACTTTCTGTTGCAGTCTTTTGCTATTTTATTTTCTTTTTCTTTCTTTCCTTTTTTTTTTCAAAGACCCTATAAGCAAGCAATTTCCATTGACTTCAAAAATCCCACATCCGAATAGCAGAAATTAGCATTTTACCTACCATTCTTATCACTCTTTCTGTAAGATGTGCTTAATTTTTGAAGCTAAAGCTGCACCACCAGCATAGTAAAAAGCTGTAGAAAATGCCAACGTCTCAATCCCTGATATCTGCCAAATCTCTCTTGCAATGTGTGCTGCCCTGAACACTTACAGTTCCAATGTTTTCATTTGTCTTGCTCCATTTTATCCCCTCCTGAAAATAACCTGTGATAGGTACTGAGTATCTGCAGCTGCTATACACAACCTTTTCTGCAGTACAGATACTTCCATCTGTTGCACTGATAAGAGTACAAACTATATTAAAATCACAGAATCATAAAATATCCTGAGTTGGAAGGGACCCACAAGGACCATTGAGTCCAGCTCCTGGGTCCACACAGGAACACCCAAAAATCAGGCCATATGTCTGAGAGCATTGTCCAAATGCTTCTTGAATTCCGGTGGGCTTGGTGCTGTCCTGGGGAGCATGTTTCAGTGAGTGATTATTAAATCTGCAGATGGCAAATACAGTAGTGGGTGCATAAAACTGTACTTGGGCAATCTGTGGAAAAGACTGTGGCCTGTGAAATAAATAGTTAAGTTTATCTGCCTTTTATGATGATGGTAGTAATGATGTTGCTTTTCATATCAAGACGTACAGTTACAAACTGTTCGTTTAAACATTTGTAATATTACTGTTGCCAGTAATAGGGAAATACACGTAACCTTAGATTATGCCATGCAAAGGGTTCCTTCGTTATGGCTTTTTCCTCTCTTTTCTTTTGCCCACTCTGAAATATTTCTAGCAGCTTCAATTTAAAGAGAAGCCGTTACCCAATTTCAGGTGATCTGATTTAAAAGCTTCCTGTCACTTGCAAACAGCTCAGTATCTTTTCAGCACAGCTTCAAAAGCCCAAGTGCTTCCTTACCAATTTGGACAACTATGGACTATCAGAGTCTGTGGAGGAAGACAACCTGACAAGGTCCCTGGGATAAGTGTGGCTTTACGAAATTACACAGTCAAGTGGCACGGCATTATGATCCCTCCCTAGAGACACAAACCTCTGTAGAGCACAGTCCTCAAGCCAGTGACACTAGCTCTGTGTGACTGTGGCCCCTGGGTACCTAAGTTTTCCACCCAAGTAGGACAGACAGGAAGCCTTGAGTGCTCCAATTTCTCTTCCTCTCTGGTTTTACAGGCTGAACTCTGACCTCTTTTGTACCAACAAATGACAGCCAAGTAGATACTTCTGAGTAATTTTCCCCAGACAGACACTGTGTACCAGGTAATCTAAGCTGGCAAAATCCAAAAGGGACTTTGTAAGAGGTTTGTTGCCGTTGGTTGATAGTCCTGTGGAACAGTTGGCTGACATGATGAAATACTCTAGAGGCCACCCCTGAAAAAGCAATGCTTCTAAATGTTTCTTTGGAAAGATCCTGAAGAAATGAACAGTCAGTGGAGCAGTATACAGTTGGTTTAACTTCTGTAACTTTCTTTTTCCATTTCCACTTTCAGATGACAGTGCAAAAAGTTCTTCATCCTCAGCTTCCAAACACTCTACAAGAACAAACCTCTTTGTGCCACTGAAACCGTAATGACATATTTGATATCCTTAAATCCACAAGAAATCCCAGATATTTGGTAAGGCCAGTTTGGGGTGCTATATGAAAAATACAGGTAGTTGATAATCTCCCAGTCTAATTTCCTGTTAGATTTTCAATTAAATCTTTCACAAAGGAAGAAAAATATAAACCAGGGCAAGGTCTAAATTTTTTTTATCTGATTGCATTTTATACACTATGTGCAAAAAAAAAAGTAATAAAAATTGATCAGTAGCATGTGTCCCATTCGTTTCACATAGAACACAGCCTATCTCTGTAAAGCTTTATGTGGCTTGTCAACAAAATCACACTGAACTAGGTAGTAATAATAATGACAGTGCTTATACAAGAAGTTAGCTTGATCATACATATTGAAGATGTCATTCTACTTTCAACAGGCTTATCACACCTAACTTGAAGAGAGAACTATGAAATCCACATGCTAGAAGAAAGGCTATTGGGGATGGAACATCCTCCTGAATTTTAATGAACGGCTAACCTTGTGTGTCAGTTCATGAAAACACCACAATAAATTGCTTTTCTTCAAATGATTACAACAAAACCACTCACTGTCTTGCTCACTCTTCTTTCAGAAATACAAAAAAAAAGCATAGAATACTTCCAGGCTGATCACTACCTAGTAAGAACGTGAACCAGCCAGTCAAAATAAGTCATATTTCTAAAACACTTCTCAAAAAAAGCAGGCATCCAGATTTACAGTTAGTTTTACGCAATGTCTTGTATAACACATTATGTTATTACTAGAAAGATGAGATCTTTGCTAGAGGACATGGAAACAACACCTTGAGCCCTTTTTAATGAAAAAATGTGTGCTGCCTCTGATGTTTGCTAAAATCAGAGAGGGCTAGCATTTTAAAATTCCCATCCGAAATATTCAAGTCAGAAAAATATTAATACGCTTAATGACATTTCAAGCCAGTAACCACATCTTCAAAATTGGGTACTGTTGCTGGCTTTATCTTCTTACAAGAAACATACGTGACCTTTATCAAATTTCTAGGAAATACATAAAGGATGAATTCAACAATCTTTTGCTTGGAAAGGCAGTGATTTAAAAAAACAACTGTGAGAAAAATGTCAAAGGTCTAGCTTGTCCTATTTTGCATGGGTTTTCCGCATTATTCACTAATATTGGCAGAAAAAGTTTGGTTCCTATCAACAGCTCCACATTTCTGTTGCCAAAAATTCGAAGTTGTGTCTTAGGTTGGTTCTAAAGTGTTTGATTACTTCTCACGATCCTCCTATGAAATAGCTCAACAATCATTTGTAGGATGTTTCCCCTCCCATTGTCTTTCTTCCAACCTCTCCTCTCCTAAGACAGAGGAAGAGAGCCAAAGTATTCAAAGACCAAGCTAACACAGGGAACAGTCCTTCTCTGGTGTCCAGTAATTCCTGTTTTGATAACTGTTGGCTGAGTTTTCATTTAGTAAATCCTGTCACACTGGTTTTCAGTGTCAAGTTTACCAGTTGGCTCTGGCTGTTCGGCTTTGCCCTGTCACACCTGCATGAACGGCGCTGCCAGAATGGCATGTGACAGACCCAGTACGTATCAGCATGAAATGACCAGACTACTGTATAAGTGCTGAGCACTGTCCTATCCATAGCTTTGTGTCTTATAAAGGCAGGAGTCAATGGTAAGTAATTAGAGGGAAATATCTAGTGCCCCGTGGTTAAGAATTCCACATACATGGAAGTGGGAGAAAATGGAGTGAAATGGCTCTCAGGCATTTTTTCTGTCTCAAGAAGGTTGTGCAAACATTGTGTATGAAGAGAGAGCCCTGAGGGGGTAGGAGTCTGTGT